CCAATTTTAAAAAAAAAATTCCCCCATAAAAAACAACCCTCCTCCCCTATATAAACCAAAAAAAACATCTGAATTGAGTGATTGGATCATGCTCTGTAGAAGTAGATGACGGAAAAAACAGAAGATGGCTCGCTATTATTTTCATTGAAAACGAATTGACAACAAAAGTGAAGAAAATTTATCATTGTCATTTCTAAGATTTTGAGCAAAAAAATAGTATAATGTCTTTAGAATAACTATGGTATGAGCAAAATAGGTATAAATATGTAAATTAGATACGATTATTTTTCAGTGTATGTTAAGATCTCTTAAAGCATAGTTTATTACAAACAATCCTTAAGGATTCAATTGACATTCATTTTTAATGTGTCTTTCACACTTTATTTTTAGAGTATATGCTTTCAAAAAAGAAAAAGAAAACTATAATCAAGGCTTGAAAACATTTTGTTCTCTGTCTTCTTTCTTTTTTTTGTTGTGTTATATAAATTTTATATGAGATATTATTCGTAACAGATGCTTTTGGCGGTTTCTTCGCCTCGAAAATGCATCCAAAAGAAGAATACATACATATATATTTTTTTTTTCCTTTTTTTTGTAAATTAATATATATGGGTATTATTTGTATACTAATACTGTTCATCATTCTTTTTTTTATGAAGAGAAAGAACGAAAAAAAGATTTTGATATTATGTTTTTTGCATGGATGAAGGACTTTTTTTTTGTTTTTTTGTTTCTCTCCACTTTCTCTTTTATTCACGATCTCTATGTATGCGTAAGACAAGAAAAAGACATGAAAAAATGTAAATAGAAGTTAAAAAATGCTTTTTATTTTAAAATTTTTTTGCTAATAGATAAAAACAATAAGAAAAACTTGTTTTTAAAAATAAATAAATAATATAAGATAGCTAGATGATTTTAATTATATATTTTTTTCTTTTTGCATAGGTAAACAATGTGTTCTATATGACGTGTGAAAAAAATAGTTTAGTTTTTGTTCACATGAATTACTTCTCTTCAGGTTTTTATTTTGTTTTTTTTGTTTTTTGTCTACAGGTAAAAACGTGACTATGTATATTATGTGTGAATGTAAGTGTGAGCATAATAATAGAGAATAACAAATTATTCTAATATATATTTTGCAGACAGAAAGTGTGTGATCTAAATAAAATATGTTAACATCGAATATTCATGAACAATGTCTTATCAATTCTTCAAATCATTATAAAACAAAAGTCTTAATAATAACGAGTGATAATTCGATATTAAATGCATTAGAATTTAAATCAAAACATTTAGAAATCAATAATACAAATAATAAAGACGTTAAAACATTAGCATTTGATTTAAATTCTAATTTTGATAAAAATATTATGGAATTAGCATTATCATCAGGATCATCTAGATCGGTAAGTTAGATTGAATGATGTGCAAAACTATTGAATATTAGAAATGATTTGATGATTGAACTGATGTTAATCTGGAAAAGAAATTATTTGAAATCATATTCATACGAGAGAACACATTCATTTGTCTCTAGTCTTTATGAATATCAACTAAATCGCTTATTTTAGTATGTCTCTGAACGTAGAATGTTCGATTACTAAACCTGATAAAGGACCCTCACAGTGGACAATCATCTGGACATTAGGTGAAAAAATGAAAGCACAATTTTTCGAGATTCAAATAGTGGCAAATATAATTTGAATACCGCGCTATTTAATGGTAAAAAGTTTTTTTATTCTATGTGCCGTAGTTAGTGAGAAACTTAATGAAAATGTGGTGTTGAAACTCAGCTCCTTAGAAAAGTGGTTCGGTGGTACTCACAGGAACAAATATTATGTTAAAAATCGTCCATAATCTCCAACTAGACCTGTCACTGTATGGATTTTATAAAAAAAAGTTCTTTTTTTAATCATTTCTGTTAGGAGAAAAAAATTTTCTTTCTGCGCTTAGTCCATTCTTAAATGGATAGTTTCAGTAAAATGAGCCTCCCCACCAC